CCCATCTGTAGGCAATTGGACATCCGCTTACAAAAGGGTTGTGGGGAGGAGACAAGCCAGTCAGTGTGCAGGATAGCACCGATGAAACATACAACTTTCCTCCAGTTCTTTAATGCTTCCTCCCCACCCCCACTATCATGACCCCAATTCTGCCTTACAAATCCAGCTAGACTAGAGGATGTGCACTGGTACATATAGGAAATGGAAACACAGGGAATCCAGGACAGATAAACCCCTCAGGACCAATAATGAGAGTAGCAATACCAGGAGGGTGAGGCAAAGGTGGGTTAGAAAAGGGAAACCGATCACAAGGACCTACATATAAACCCCTCCCTGGGGGACAGACAACAGGAAAGTGGGTGAAGGGTACCATTGGACAGTGTAAGATATGACGAAAAAATAATAAATCATCAAGGGTTTATGAGGGAGCGGGGGCAAGGAGGGAGGGGAAAAAATGAGGAGGTGATACCAAGGACTCAAGTAAAAAAATGTTTTGAGAATGATGATGACAACAAATGTACAAATGTGCTTGACACAATGGATGGAAGTATGGATTGTGATGAGTTGTACGAGCCCCCAATAAAATGATTTTTTTAAAAGAATTGTGTGATATGTGAATTATATGCCAGTAAAAACTGTTTTTAAAAACAGTCCTGACGAGCAAGGATGTTACTTTGAGGACTAATGTGTTCCTGACGCAAGTCACGGTATTTTCCATAGACACGTGAAAGTTGAACCTTGAAGAAGGAAGGCTGAAGAAGACTGAATGCATCTGAATTATGGTGCTGACAAAGAATATGAATGGTACCATGGACTGCCGAAAGAAGAAGCAGAGCTTTCTTGGAAGGAGTACAGCCAGAATGCTCCTTAGAGGCAAGATTGGCAAGAGTTCCTCTCAAGTACTTCGGACATGTACCAGCAGAGACCAGTCCTGGAGAAGGACATCGTGTTTGGTCAAGTCGAAGGGCAGCAAAAAAAGAGGAAGACCTTGAAGAAACAGATTGCTAGAGTGAATGCCACACTGGACTCAAACACAGCAACCGCCAGGATGGCGCAAGAGAGGCCGTGTGTCATCTTGTGGTGCATCGGGTTGCTGTAAATTGGACCTGACTGGATGGCAGGTGAACCAGCAGTAGAGAAGACAAAGACTAAAAGTAACCATTGATTTGACATAAGAAATTCCTAGAGTCCTTTACAAGAGCCACTTCTCAGGAAGGTGGAAGAGGAAGTCAGAGTGCAGTTGATTGAAAACTGGGGGAAAGGAAAGTTCATACATCAACTGTGGACTTTTTCTAGAAGTCTAGATCTGAAGACAGATATATGGGAGAAGCAAAGGGGAGATGGTTTAAAGGATTGGGGGTTTGTTTCTGTTGTTTCAAGATGGGACAGACATACGTATTTGTAAAAAAATGATGATAAAGGGAAAAAACAAAAGCATGAATATATCAGCACATATTATATATAGATTGTTCCACTTCCCCAAAATGAAGGACACACAGCAAAATACTCAGCAAGGAAGCTACCTGGGAACAAAAATTCTCAAGTCATATTAACCCAGAATAGCTGAGAAAATAAAGCATTAGCTGGACAAATTTTAAACCAGCACATTATAGGAAAAGGACGATGGATGCTAAATGTCCATCATTAAAAACGACCCTACACTTACCTCATAATCCTGCCCTCTAACCCACCACCCAGGAGTGAAAAAACACCCTTTGGTGCTGAATGAAAATAACAACTAGAAGCTACTGTCCAGTGGATTTTCTTCAACTTCATTGCAACTTTCTAAAATGTACATCTACATAAGATTTAAATGTGTAGATTTTACATAATATTCCATGTGTTTTATCTATGCATGCTAAATATTGGAACTGCGTGCTATGATGTGTTTTGTAGCTCATGGTGTATAAATTACATCTGCTAATCTAGAAAACAAAGAGATACAGTTGGCTACCCAATGGCTTTTAATTCCAGAGACTGTTCATTTTCTTTTCTTTTTTTATTAATCATTTTATTGGGGAGCTCTTATAAATCTTTTTTTTAAAACAGGGGAGAGCGCGAACACAGTCCCCCACTACCACAAATTATGCGGTTGAGTTTCCCACATTTGGGGAAATCGCAGGGGTCAGCACATCCGGAGTGCAATGGATAAGACTTGCCCTGGGAAAACCCTTCGTGATCATGGTATCTCCCCTGCCAGGTAAGTACGTGGAGCTCTTAGAAATCTTATGACAATCCATCATTCAATTGTAATAAGCACACTCAGAGACGATTCATTCTTGAGAAATAATATTATTATTAAATATTTACCAGCTTTGGAATTTTCAGGATGCTTGTCAGGGTGACATTCCAGGGCTCTGATCTTAAATTCTGCCAAGATTTGTTCAACCTAAAACGAAAACAAACATGCAAATACTTGTACAACTTGGGCCTCAGTCCTCTCCAAAACAGCCAGGAACTATGCAACTTTTTGTTTTTAACCTTAAAATTCTCTTTTAACTTTTTGGTCCAGGAAATATTTTCCTCAAAGAAATTCAGAAAGCATTCAATAGAAGCTGCTATTCAGTGAGTGTTTGATGCCAACAACTAAACTTGCTGTTACTGGGCATGACGATGGCTGGGAGCACTGTATATTTAAGGGTCTGACTGGTCAAATAGGTTTCTTCTACCAGCAACAAACCAACCAAATCTATGGCCTTCGTGTGGACTCCAGTCACGGTGGCCCCGTGTGTTTTTCTAGGAGGTTTCTCGGCTGGGAGTGTTACAATAGCAGATTGCTAGGTCTCGCTTGCCTGCTTGCTTTCATGGATTCAATCCATCAACTTTTTTAGATGAACAGATGAAGCTAAGAATCCTAGAAAACATGTTTACTTCTCTGTGGTCTTCAAATGATGCTGAGCCACTACTTGTTATTCAGGGATGACTGCTCCAGTTTATAAATTATCCATTACATAGCTCCTTCACCCTGCCATTGATAACTTTTAAATTTTTACGAAGAATTTCACAGTTTTGATTGGGAAAATGGCGACCCCAGCCCAAGCTAAAATGAAGTGTGAAGGTTATCTATTATTTGATTTTATTATACTTACCTGCATACTTTATGTCATGAATGAATGATTTGGGTTTGCCTTTGCTAATCCTGTGATAATGGCTGCAGTGGGAAATGATAGTTAAATGTCTCTTCTGGAATACGGTGCTAGGTGTTAAATCCTAGTTCAGCCACCAGGGGTCAGGCAAGTTACTTCCATGCGCCTGGGTTTCCTCATATTTGCATTTGATGAATAATGTGTACAATAGTCATTATATAGCCATTACTAAATAACAGTGGTAAAATAATTTACAAAAACAGTAATTTACCCAAAGTTACTTAAAAAAACTGAGTTCTTTTAATCCTTTGAAACTGGGTAGTCCGGGTTCAAACCCTACAATCTTAACCACTGCTGTATGTGGTTCAATTTTTCAGGTTTCAAAGACAATGATCAGGTTCTATACTTATTATCAGGGAGTTCTAGTAGCATAGCGGGTTACACAGTGAACTGATCACCATCAGGTCGGCTGTGAGAACCCACCAGCTGCTCTGTAGAAGAAAGGCAGGGCTTTCTGTCCCATAAAGATGAACAGCCTCAGAAACCCTACATGGCATCACTCTGAGTCAGAATCCCCTGGATAGCAGTGAGCTCTGGGGTGGGATATTTAATACCTAACAATTAATAAAAGCAAACTACTTCTTCACTGAGAAATCTCAAGCAGCTCAGCCCAACAATATCATAGAATTCATCAGAGACACTCCTTTCAGCTCCAGGTCATCGTTAGTCAATTTTCATGAAAACTTCCTTAACGATTTGTGATAGTTGCATAATGCCCTGTCAACTTGAAGATGCAGAAGTGAAGGGGTGGAGTTTAGCCTGTCAATCAGGTCACAGCCTGATGGTGCCCCCTGGTGAGCACCGCCTTCCCACAAGGAGGATCCTGGAAACGCCTCTCTCTTTCTACTTCACCTACCTGTTGGCGACCCATGCAGCTGAGACCTGCCAGAGCCCTGGAGATCCATTCACCACCATTGGATCCACAAGACTTTTCACCAACCAGCCTGTATTGTGGGTTGGAGATGAATCCCAGTCACATTCCCCCAAACTAAAGTTGTTCCCCACAACGTCCCCCTGTTATAATGCCAATGTTAAGGTGCTGCTTGCAAGCACATGATTGCTACTATATGCTTGAAGGTTATCTGCCTGAAGGTTGTCTGCCATCTGCCATCTAAAGCAATCAGACCATCCCACTCCCTTCTGACGAGGATCATAGATTGTTCCTCTGGAGAAGAGTTCAGGGACATTTAAGGTCAAGCCACCATCTTAACTTTAGAACCTGCCCATCTGGTTACATAAGTACCTTCCTGTTATGTGTATGTCCCTAGCACGTCCCCTTCCTGTTGTGTATATGTATGACGTGGCTTGCATACCTGAGATTATAAAAGCCTGTGAGAGAATAGATTCCCCACTCTCTGCTTCTGGTCTTCATGGAAGAGGTGAGCCTTTGCATGCCTTCTCCGATGTTTCTTTCATTTACCCTTCAATTACACAACAGCTCCCTAGGACCCTCTCAGTCATGAAGGCTGGCCCCCCAGATGATATACTATTACAATCAAAGTCAGACAGCACTAGATATCCACATAAATAAAGCCTCCAAGACGGATAACTCTGCTACTTTCTTGTTAAGCTTCCACAAAGGACTCCTTGGAACAAGAGGAAAAGAATTACTTTCTGCTAAGAACCCTATTCATGGGGGAGCGAGGGGAATGAGCTGATACCAAGGGCTCAAGTAGAAAAAACATGTCTTGAAAATGATGGTGGCAACAAATGTACAAATGTGCTTGACACAATGGATGGCTGGATGGATTGTGATAAGAGCTGTACGAGCCCCCAATAAAATGATTTTTTTTAAAAAACAACAGAAGAACTATATTTAACTGTGTGCTTGCAATTCATGGGACTTCCCTCCTTGAACTCACACTCACTGCCAGCAAGTTGATTCAGACTCATAATCACCCCACCCTAGGGTGAGGTAGAACTGACCCTGAGTTTCCAAGACTGTAATTCGCCTTTCTCCCACAAGGAAGCTGATGCTTTCGAACTGTTGACTTTGAGGTTAGCAGCCCAACTTGTAACCAGTAGGCCACCAGAGCCCCCTTTAACTAGCATCACTATAAGCTGCTGTCTAACAAAGAAAACTGAGATTTACATTTGCTTCTAAATTTTAAAACATTAAATATTCTAAAAGACTAGTAGTAAGCATTTTAAATAATTTACGAATATTCACAACCACTCTGAAAATGTTCCATCAATACTGAGGAAAAAGTGAAATACCCTTTACTCCCCTCCCTTCGAGATAACTGCTTATATACTTTGAGGCACTTATCTACACATTTACATATCTATCTTAGGTTTTTATAGCGATGTGAATAAATTAAATTCTATCTATCAATCAAAAGTAAAGGGAGCCCTGGTGGCAGAATGGTTACGAGTTGGGGTGCGAAACAAAGGCCAGCAGTTTGAAAACCACCAGGTGCTCCATGTGAGAACAATGGGCCTTTCTACTCTGGTCCACAGTTACAGATTTACAATCTCATGGGACAGTTCTACCCTGTCCTATAGAGTTGCTATGAGTCAGCATCAACTCAATGGCAGTGAGTTTGTTTTTGTTTTTTTTTAACAAAGTATAAAATTTTGGTGTGTGTGTGTGTGTGTTTTAATGTTGTTATTTTATCTTTTAATTCATGACCCATTGAGAAACATTCTGGTATTAGTCTATAGAAACAAATGTGGCAAGATGGTTAATTCTCAATAGTGCAAACATGTGTGATTATTATTATTTTCTCCTATATTTTTTGTGTTTTTCCAATTTCCAAACATTTAAAAACATAGGGAGTCTATCTATATTTTCATTACTTGCTATCACTTTACCACACAAAGTTGATCGTGTATGAACTTTGGGCAAATTGTTCAAATGAATTAAATTTGTCTTGCGCACATCTGCTGACATCTCATCCATGTGCCCAATGCCAAAAGTAGCCAGCCCACGGGGAGCTGAGGCTTTCAAAGTCAAGGTTCACTGTATCCCACCTTCTTCTCATTCCAATGACCAATGGTCTAGAAAATTGCCTATCCTGTTGGCCAGTAAGTGTACCAAAAAAGTGTTCAACCTGACTGGTAATCAAATAAATCAAATCATCAATGGGATGATTAAGCACAGTGTCATTGAAGGTACAGAGAGAAGAACAACCCCTATGCGACATTGAGAATGGGCATTGGTATCAAGTCTCTGGCAAACAATTGGGGAATATATGGCAAAAGCTTTTAATTTTTCAGAACTTTTGATCCAGCAATTCCAATTATAGGCATTGGTATTTAAGTAGATAATCAAAGACATAGAGAAAATAATTTAGCTATCAGATAGTTCAATGAACACAGTGTTACATTTTTTAACAAAAATCTATATGTCCAATGATGGAATTTCTTTTAAAGTTAAATGTAAAAATAATAATAATTTATCAAGGGGTGACAAGGGTTGGTAGAGGGGAGAAAGGGAAAAAGAGGAGCTGATACCAGAGGCTCAAATAGAAAGTAAACGTCTAGAAAATAATGATGGCAACATATGTACAAATATGCTGGGTACAATTTATGTATGGATTGTTATAAGAGCTGTAAGAGCTCCCAATAAAATTATCTTCTAAAAAAAACTTTAAAAAAGCATAAATATAGCCATAACTGGAATCGTTTTCAGCTCAGCCATTAAAAAGCATCTTTTAGAAGACTTTCAACAACATGAAAAATTCACACAACTATATTTCTGTGATAAAAGGTAAGTGACAAAAGCAAGAAAAGGTAAAGTATTTCAAATTTTATATGAAATAATAAGTCATCTTTTACCTCAAAAGGGCTTATGTAACATTTGTGTGTTATTGTTAAGCGCCATTATTCTGTCACATGGGTTGCAATGAATCCATTTCACTACAAAATAGAACTGCCCCATAAGTTACTTTGCCTTTGCTTATTTAATCTTTTATTGTGAATTAAGTGAAGATTTACAGAGCAGATCATCTGGTTTACATCCAACAATTCATACCCCATTTTATTTCAATTCATCCTTGCAATCCTTGGAATGTACCATCACTTATCCCACTTCCTCCCTGCGTTCCCTATTTCTATCCCTCCTTTTTTCCTCACCCTCTGAATTTTATTGTTGGATGAGTGCTGTCCTTTCTGTCTTAAATGGCTGTAATTATTCTACCACACTCAATAACTCACTGCCATTGAGTCAACTCTGACTCAAGGCAACCCTATAGGGCAGGGTATGACTGGCCTGGTGAGTTTCTGAGAAGGGAGTAGAGAGCCTTGTCTTTCTCCCACAGAGCTGGCTGGTGGTTTCTAACTGCCGACTTTTGAGGTTAGCAGCCCATCCTCTAATCACTATGCCACCAGGGCTCCTAGTCTACCATAGTCTACCATAGTCTACCATAAACCCAAACCAAACTCACTGTCCTAGGATCAATTCTGACTCCTGGCGACCATGTCAGACAACGTGTAACCACTACGCCACCAGGGCTCCTTTCTTCTGCCTGTGACTTTTGTGTAGAATCTGAAACAAATGTTTTTAAAAGGCGGCGTGACTTGCAATAAAACTTTGGTATTTATATTTTAAGGGACACATACATTGCTTTCCAGTTATCAGCATGGAAATCCTCCCATGTATATGAGAGAAATAAAACTTATCCCAGGGCTTAGACCCATGATCATATTTTCAATTTGTGAAGGGTGCTTTTTGTTTGTTTGCTTGTTTCTAAGCCTCGGTCTAAGTTATCCAGTGCTGCTATAACCGAAATGCCATACCAGGATCTTTCAACACACAGAAGTGCATTTTCTCACAGGTTAGAAGCCAGGGCATCTGAATTGAGGGCACTGGTTCCACGCGTCAGCTTATTTCCTCTTTCTTTGGAGAACTCCAGGTGGCTTGGCATCTGTCTTCCATCTCGGCTTGCTTGTTTGTTTAATCGATTTTATATTTCAAAAGAGATTGGCTCAGATACACCCTACACTCATCTCCAATTGGGACTGTAAGCATAGGCTGATTCCAACACACGTTTTGGAGGAACAATTCGATCTGTAACATCTCCTACAGAAAGCCTTTGTAATTACTCGGCTAGAGTCATTGGAAAATAGGCAACTTTGCTTTTAATTTAATTCATTTTCAACACAAGTTTTAAATTGTAGAACTAGATACTAAAACACGTGTCTAAATGCTGTTATTACTAAGCATTCCACCGACCCACTGCCACTGAGCCAATTATGACTCCTGGCAACTCTATACAACAGAGGAAAACCGCTTCCAAGAGTTCCCAGGCTTGTAAATCTCTTTGGAAGCCGACTGCCTCACCTTTCTCCAGATACTAAGAGGCTAGTGGGTTCAAACAGCCAACCTTTCCATTAGCAGCCCAACACTTAATCCATTGCACCACTAGGACTCCTTGCAATTCTGTGACAAGCAGAACTAAAATATCGAGCTGCTTTGAAATTATAACTGTTAAGTCACTTTTAAGTATGAAAAGTTCTGGTCGATTTTGGAGCATCAAATCAAAGGATATTGGAAGTAAAGTAAAATATCATCCATCCAAACATGTCTTCAAACATAAAGCAAGAAAAGGAAGTGTCACATTCAGGTGTATTAAAATATTTTAAATTGGAAGAATCCACAGAAAAAGAAACAATTAAAAGAAGTGACAAATTGTCAGAAGTTATTTCATTTAAAATACATTGCTATTACCTAGACATGTTACGTCATTGATAGGATCTGTAGCATATCCAGAAAAAAAGTAATGTTGAGACAGTGCTTTAACTTCCCTTTCAAGATCTGCCACAGTGTATTTGGAGAAGCAAAAGCATAATTGATCACCATGAAATGGCACCATCATGAGCACTATCAATAAACAAGGGGTTCGTTTTTGTGGGTCTATCCACAACTACTTCTCCTCCTTTGTAGCCAGAAAAGACAGTACCCTAACTACAAAAGACTGACCAATGGGTCAAGAAACTTATTAGAAGATTAGGACCTTAGCTTTACATTATGCGTGTCAATGTTTCTTAAAAATCCAAAATGTGGAGCTTATAGAATTAATTTTTTTCCTTTACTTCTAAAGAGTTCTATTAAAAATCATTTGGAATAGTATAATCCAAAGTGTGACCAATACATATAGTAAAAATGGTAATAACCTTTCTCAACTTCTATAAGGTAATCACCATCAAAGTGAGTAATATAACACAGTATTCTAAAAGAGAAATGGGCAGCTAAAGTGGGATTATAGCCTGTTCTCATTTTTTGAATATTTGAACATCAAGTATCTGAGATACCATCCTCAGTGTGATGAAGATTGAAAATAGAAATTTTAATCCTGTGTACAATAGCACAATCTATTTTCAAGAGGAAACTTGGTTAATTTATTCCTAAACATGCCCTTTTGAAGCAAGAATAACTGTAAAATATTTTCCTTTTAAATATGAATGTTCATAATTGTGCTTTAATAATCATAAAATCCTTAGAGTTAGATTTACTTGATACTCAAATATTAATAATTAATACATAGTGTTTAAATGTAATTATTATTAGTCAAATAATTCATCCTATTACTATTCATTTCATCAGTACTGAAGACATTGAAAAGCTGTGAGTAAGCTAAATGTTTAACTATTAGAGAATAACTCAATTATAGTACAACAGTAAAATGAAATATTATGCAACCATTAAAATACATATGGAGAATGTTTAATAGCATGGAGAACTGCCTCTATCTAATATTAATTGTAAAAACCAGCAATCAAAAGTATATACAATATGCTCCCAAACATGTCTCATATATATGTATGCAAATATACATGCATATATAAAGTCTCTTGGCAACTAGAGATTAATATGTCAAAATATTTATAAAGGTATCTTGAGTGGTAGAATTCTATTTCAAATTTTTTCTGATTTTTATAATTGCTTTAGAGGGAACTTTAAAAAATTATTTCATTTTAGAGCAAGTGAACAACTGTAGGTTTTCAAATTTGTTTTCTTTCAAAAGCCAAACTTTTAAGAAGTAATTTCTACAACACAATTTGAGACATTACCATTGAAAAGATGTTTTTGGTTCATAATTTGACTGCTCACATGAAATTTCATATTTTAATATAATAATTTTAAAATACAATAAATTAATAAAATAAAATATGAAGATAATGAAATATTTTAACATAACTAAGTACTAGAAAATATTTCATGATAGATATAGTATGAATTACCAAATAAAAATATAGCCTATGTATACTTAGAAACACAGTCAACAATTACAATCAAAGGTGCATTTTTAGTACATTGTGAACTGTGGTGTATGCCCGTGTACAAGAATACACAAATGAATCAGAAACATCCATAACATTTCAAAGATGTATAAGGACACTTCTACACATTTAAATTCTTAACTTTCTCTGAGCCAAAGAGGCTTTAAGTTTAAGACAAAATTTGGTTTTTGGCAATGGAATGAAAAACTCAATGCTGAAACCTTTTTAAAAAAAACTTGAAATATTGTTGGGGAAAATGACCAGTCATTAATTTAACCACTGTCTTACCGAAGACAGTTCATCGCATCCCAGTAGCGTGTAGTAATCTTCAGTGTCTTCCAAACTGTAATTCAGTATTGCGTCCATTTTACACTACAAACTAGCTTCTTCCTTCTGAAACAAGCGGCACAGTGGGCTGGGAGTGACCAGGAAAGGCCTCTTGGAGTCTGACTACCTTCAGCAAGTGCTCCCAAACGCCAACAAGTAGCTTTGAGGCTGGCCACTGTCCGCACAGCCAGACGTCATGCCAGACCTCTGCAAACATTACCTCTGATTGGTCGCTGGCAGACGCGACAAGAGCAGCCCACGTGCCAACTGCAACTTGCAGCGCTGCCTGGGAGCTGTAGTTTGAGTTTACAAATGAATCATTTCTCACTTGGGTGAATAAAGAATGACTCCAATTCACAGAAACTCCCCAAATTAACTTTATTCCCTTTTCCTTGAGGGATAGGCGATAAAATTTAATCCTTGTGGTAACATGTGAAGATTTGTTCAATATGAGTAGAGTGCTTTTGTATTAAAAATATTTCATGAAATTTAAAAAGTTTTACGAGTATTAAAAAGAGAGAATGGGCTAGCAAAGTATTTAGTGGTTTCATAATGTATTCATTCATTCATCCAACAAGCATACTCGTAGAGAAAAGTATAATAAGCAAAACAGAGTTCTGGAGTTTCGATTCCAATAGCAGGAGACAGACAGGAAACAAGCAAACGTTATTGAAGCAGCGATTGTGCTGCTGATGAAATAAACCCGGACCTTGAGGACGAGCACTGTCCGGTGAGCTTTGTCTGAGCACTGGCCTTTGTGTTGGGCTAGCTGTCCCCAAAGGAGCGGGTGTTAAGCATAGGGCTGCTAACTGCAATGTCACACACACACACACACACACACACACACACA